TATTTTTAATTCAAATTCAAAAGGCGGCAAAAGTGGGCGTCAATCCGGAGGCCTACAAAAAGTTTAGCGAAAGTCAAATCGGATACATATTAGGCGATACGGGCAGGAGTTTTGTGGTGGGCGTAGGGGTCAACCCACCCGTCCATCCCCATCACAGAGCGTCGTACGTCCAAAATAATCATTTAATTTAATTTTAGAAAATTAACTCATTATTATATTTAAATTCAAAGGTCGTGCCCGAATGAGCCGGTATTATGCGACTACTCAGCCATGACTAACCCGGGACCCAATCCCCACATACTTACAGGCGCCGTGGTTGGCGGACCCGATAAGAGCGATGCCTACGCAGATAAACGGGACGATTACGTGCACAACGAGGTGGCCATGGATTATAACGCCGCCTTTCAGGGCACGTTGGCTGCGCTCCTACACCTCAAGTCTTAATAAATGCACGTTTTCTCGTTAATGTCTTCCCAAAGAGTATTATGGGGTTTAAGTTTAAATATCATTATATTTTATACAAAGTTTTTGTTTTTTAACTGTATTTGTGGACCATTTATTAATTAATAATAAAATTAACTTTTTATTAAAAAATAATAATAAATTATTTGCATTTTTATTTTAATTTACAAATAATTTTTATTTTTGAGATAAAAGCTCACATGTTGAATATAAATGAGAATGCCGGTTAATTTTTAATTAGAGAATGGTACTGGTACTGTATTATTAATGATAAATACAATGATTTTAAATAAAGTGTTATTCATTTATACTTGGATTTCTCATTATTGTATTGTATGGCAACCTTTAATTTATGATAAAAAACAAGTCTAATTTTAAAAATACTTTCTTAATTTAATTTCATTTAAAGTTTTAAAATTTTTAAAGACTTTATCATTTAGTATCAATTATAAAATTAACTTTATAGTTTTGATAACATAAACTCAATGGGTTTATTATTTACCTTGAAAGTATACGAAGACTAATTGTTTGGGAACTGGAGGTGTTAGCGTGATATCAGATTTAGCTCAATTGTTGTATAATAGGATATTAATGATTTGCCAATAAATATATTATCAATATACTTTATTTGTATATTGAGTAAACATTTCGCTATTTGTTCACAGGGTTATCAATGACAATTAGATGTTTATCCAAAGGTTATCAATTAAATGTTAAGTTCTCATAAACTCTTTCTACATCACTGTTATTCACTTTACTGTAAACTGACTGTAAATAGTGTTTATAACTTGTATAAACTTTATATAAATGTAGATCACAAATTATATATACATTTTATAGTTTATTAATTTTAAAGAAATTATTTTATTTATTTAAGTTATTTTATAAAAATGAAATATATTTATTTAATTTCATTGTTAATTAGCGTATTAACAAGCAATGTCTATAGCACTGTCACATATAAGGTAAAGGCCGAGTGGTCGGGTACTACACAATCTGAGATTTCTATGTCTGGTGAAACTGGGAACTGGATCATTGAATTAATATTTGATGCTAAAGTTATCATTAATGTAAGTTTACACTAATTTAAATCAACATAGCTAATTACTTGTTATTTGTACATTAAGGGCACATATGGTGGTGAAGTCAAAACCTCCAGTCCCGATGAACTTACATTCACATTAGGTGGCGATCCCCTAAAAGCTGGTGAAAATCATACCCTTCAATATCAGGCACATTTTGACCATAACGCCGGTGCTAACCTTATTAGGTATTACTATATACAATAAATTCATTTAAAAAATATTTTTTACATACATTTGATTTTAATTTAGCGCAAAATTTAATGGCAAACCCATAGATATCGGTAATAAAACTAAAGTAAAAATATAACCAAAAAGTAAATATTATTTTACAACAATGTTTAGGACCGGTAGCCACTGTATGGCCCATAACCGTATCGCCTGTCGGCCCAAAAGGCAACTACAACTACGGGGCTGTCATCCACGCCTCCCTACTCTTCTATGAGGCCCAGAGGTCCGGTAAATTACCCGCTAATAAGAGGGTTCACTGGAGGGGTGACTCTATGCTTGACGATGGGAAAGACGTGGGAAAGGACCTGACGGGCGGTTACTTCGATGGTATGACTTTTGACTGGAGTTATGAAAAAAAGTTTGTATTAATTATTAATTATCAATAGCCGGAGATCTGGTGAAGTTTGGTTTCCCGATGGCCTTCACAATGACTGTCCTCTCCTGGAGTCTCGTCGACTACGAGGACGCCTACGAAAAGGCCGGGGAGTTGGAGAATGTGCGCAATGCTATCAAATGGGGGACAGACTACTTCTTGAAAGTAATATAAAATTACTATAAATATAACATTTATTACAAATTTATTGTTTAATTAAATGCTATTCAGTGCCACACAAGCGATACTGAATTCTACGGACAGGTAGGCAATGGTAATGAGGATCACGCCGTGTGGGGTCGACCTGAGGACTGGCCTAAAACTAAGAAAATTAGGCCCGCATATAAAGTGACCTCTGCACACGGAGGTAAACCCTATTAATGATTTAATATTAAATTATTATAGTTTTAATGGTTGCTAAACAGGTAGTGAATTGACTGGCGAGACATCGGCAGCTCTGACCGCCGCCTCCCTGGCCTTCGCGAAGTCTGATCCGACATATTCAGCGACACTCCTAACTCACGCCAAGTCTTTGTACGCATTTGCCGACAAATACCGGGCTAACTATACCATAGAAATACCGGACGTCAAGAGTT